GTAATAAGGATTGGAAAAAGGTATGAAAATGATGCGTAAAATTTTAAATTTTGTAAAATGAAAAAAGAAATGATTAAAACTTATGACTCACATTTTCTATGAAAATCAAATCCTGTTATATTAACAAGTAGTCCGTAACAAAAATGGTGATAGTATGCATAGTATTACTTGAAAAAAAAAATGTGATTTTGATCAGAATTGATCCGTCATCTTAACAAGGCTTTTGTAAAATAAATAAAACAAAATAAAGAGTTAATTTTGTTTTTTGTTCTAGTATTATTGTAGCATGATTATTTTTCGTCACTCGTCAACAAAATCGTTGAAATGTTGTTAAATACAAGGATATTTCGATCTTTTCTATACAAAGTGGGTTGATCCGCTATATTTTTTATTTTCTTGAAAAATTTTCATAATTGAAGACTTAAATGTCCTTATATTTTATGAAATTTCAACGATTTTTTTGCAAACGATTGAAATGATCATGCTATAATAATATTAGGACCAAACGAGAATATTCTAAAAAAAAAAAAAAAAAAACTAGAAGTAAATTACCACCTATATATCTAATATCAAAAATGGAATTAACACTAAAATAAATTACACTAAAATAAATTACAGTGACTTAGTAAGGGCATCCCCAATAAGAGGATCTTCACCACATTTTAGAATAGTAAAATTCTTTAGAGTAGAATTTGACAAATGGATTTTAGAATAGTAAAATCCTTTAGTAGAATCAAAGCTTTTGTCAGTAAAAGTAAAAGTAAAAAAAATAAAAAAATAAATAAAAAAATAAAAAAAATTACAGCTTTTTTAGAGTGGCCCACATTTAATTTCATTGGTCGTTTCCATTGGCAACAGCCAATTTTCCGGCCCAAATTTTGTGTCGTTGTCATTGCAACCAATCGTTATGATGTGCATCCGTATGCACCATGCATGGTGCATACGGATGCCAAAACGACGTCGTTTTATTAAAAAATGCGCGTCTCCCTTTAAAAAAAAATCAGGTTCGATTCCCAGCAACAACATTATATTGTTCATTCATTCTGGAATTTTAGTTCATAGATTATGGAATTATAGTTCATTGATTATGGAATTATAGTTCATCGATTATGGAATTGTAGTTCATCGATTCTGAAATTTAGTTTATAGATTATGAAATTTTAGTTCATTCATTCTGGAATTTTTAGTTCATAGATTAGATTATGGAATTATAGTTCATCGATTATGGAATTATAGTTCATCGATTATGGAATTATAGTTCATCAATTATGGAATTTTAGTTCATATGTTGTTGCTGGGAATCGAACCTGATTTTTTTTTAAAGGGGAGACGCGCGTTTTATTAACACGACGTCGTTTTTGCATCCGTATGCATCATGCATGGTGCATACGGATGCACAGCATAATTTGCCCTGTATTCTTTCTTCTTCTTCTTCTTTTTTTTAAAAAAAATTATTATTATTATTATTATCTACTATATATATATATATATATATATATATATATATATATATATATATATATATATATATATATATATATATATACTAATAAGAGCCCAAGAGAGTTAGGCCTATAATGGGTAGAAAAAATGGCGGTCACATATTTTAATCAAATGAATGGCTCAGATTGATTAAAAAATTGATAAGATTTAAATTTTACACTAAAATTTCCTAAAATACCCACACACCGTTACTAATTCCGTTAAAATTTTAAGAATTGCCGTTAGTTTACCGTTAACTTACTTATTGATTTCAAAAAAAAAAAAAAAAAAAAAAAAAAAGGTCTTAGGTTCGAACCTCATCCCAATCAAAGTTGGCATAATTAGTACTATATTTTACTCTTATTAAATTATATAAATAATAATTTAGTAGCTACAACAAAAAATGATAGATATGCATTTCTTTAATTTAGAATTATGTGTCCACAATGCCTTTATTCAAAAAAAAAAATTATTCATTATCAATAAATTAAATAAGAGAAATAATTGTATTAGTTATATTATTATCTTTATCTTTCTACAATATATAAAAATTCTTTATATTCAAATTTATTAATTGATTATATTTGCTACATTGTCCTTACAATGTCTTAATTCAGTGAAAAAAAATTATTCATTATCAATAAATTAATTAAGAAAAATATTTTCATTAGTTATATTGTCTTTATTTTTCTCAAATGTAAATATTTTTACATTCAAATTCATCAATTGATTATATTCACTACATTGTCTATTATCTTTTTTTGTACACTATTTTTCTAATTAAATATCAGAGTTATAATACAAAATAATGCTATATATTCATTTACCAAGTATTTTATTAATACCATGAAAAAATTAAAAAAATATATAATTAATAAAGCCAACCATATTAACTACTTGAGAGATTTTGTGACAAAGAGAGTATTCAAATCACACAACAAATTGAAGTGAGAACTACCTTGCAATGTCCTTGTTTGACAATCAGCAGTTAGCGGATTATATTAGCGGATTTGACCAACGAATTTATTTAATTATTAACATTGGGTAGAAAAAATGACCGCCAAATTATTAAATCAAATGAATGGTTCAAATTGTTCAGGTTTTGATTTTTTAAAAAGTTTTTCTAATTTATCCTTAATTATATGATTATCCATTTAACTTTTCCGTTAGATACCGTTAATTCACCGTTAGTCTAATTCTAATATTAACGTCTAATATAGAATTATAATTACACCATTAATCTAATTCTAATATTAAAGTCTTAATAGAACTTAACCACAAATCCTAATGTCGAAATCTCCTCAAACAATATTAGTATATATTTAATATTTTATACCCTAATTTTTATTTGTTCTCCCTTATGTCCCGTATTTGGTTTCAACCATACCTATACAATTATTTTATTGACAATTATAATCAATCTTGACTATATTATCTTGCATTTGTAAACTTAGAATTACCTATTTAACCCGCACGGGCTTAGCTCAATGGTTTAGTGGGCAGTATTTGGGAGAAGAGACCAAGGTTTGAACCTCGGCGGCGGCAGTGCGGGAATTATGTCCAAAGTGGGCAGATTCCTTGTTCGCACCGGCATTTGGTCCTGTCTACTGAACCATTGAGTCACCGTGATTTACAACTTCCCACAATGCTCTGTCGGGTCGGAGTGTGGGGGGCCCTTGGGGTTGGGGACTCAACCTTTGGGAGAAGAATTACCTATTTAAATACGCAAATTCGACCTTCAATTATCTATATATGCATGAACAATTTCAATATAATCTTACCTTAATATACTTTAAAGTACTTATTAAAAAAAAAACATTGGGCATTATCCCAATCGCGCAATGCGCGTAAAAAACTAGTATACTAATAAGAGCCCAAGAGAGTTAGACCTATAATGGGTAGAAAAAATGGCGGTCAAATTTTTTAATCAAATGAATGGCTCCGATTGATCAGATTTTAATTTTTCCTTAAGATTTCATAATTTATCCTTAATTAATATGATTATCCGTTAACTTTTCCGTTAAATATTATCTTTTACATTAATTTCTGTTAGTTCACCGTTAACTTACTCATTAATTTCAATAAGTAAGGTCTTAGATTCGAACCTCATCCCAATCAAAGTTGGCATAATTAGTACTCTATTTTACTCTTATTAAATTAAATAATAAGTTAGTAGCTACAACAAAATATATATATATATATATATATATATATATATATATATATATATATATATATATATATATGTATGTATGTATGTATTTCTTTAATTTAGAATTATGTGTCTACAATGCCTTTATTAAAAAAAATTATTCATTATCAATAAATTAAATAAGAGAAATAATTCTAGTAGTTATATTATATTTATTTTTCTCCAATATAAAAATTCTAACACATTTCAATCTACTCCTAATTTATTTTTATATTTCTAACAATTTATTTTTGTAATTTAATTTTTAAGCAATTATTTGTTTAATTTTCATTCTATAACTATCATATTAACTAATTAGACGTACTATGTTTATTTTAATTAAGTTTGGAAATGAAATTTTTAAGCAATTATTTGTTTAGTTTTCATATTTAGGTATGTTCATTCATTTATGTTTATTATAATTATAAAATTATAAATATATAAATTAAATAAATAAAGAAATAATTAAAATATGAAAATAAAATGGTGGGTTCACAAAAAGTTGTGAAAAACTTAAAACTAATGAGAATAAGAAATTTTGTGATTGAGTAAGATAGTGAATGATGAGGTGGATGTTAGAACGCACAAAAATCTGGGGTAAAATTTCTAACTATTAAGGATGCCCTAAAGCTCTGGTCTTTTAGATGGCTTAACTACTAGTCAAAGTTGTAGACTAATGTGCCCACATATGACGAGTTGTACAAGAAGCATGTTGGCAAAATTCTTACCAATCAACGCATCAAATGACTCTTGATTGTCAGCACGTTAGGTGAGACGCCAACACTTTTGAGAAAGAAAGTTGTGTACTAGTTTGAGTCAATTTCCTAGGTTCTACAATAACATGATTAGTAAGAAAATGAAAAAAAAAAAAAAAAAATGACAACGGAGATAAAAAACTAATCTTATACATTTTAAATAGGTAATTACATTTTCAATATTCAAACCTGAAACTAATTTTGTGGGCGTGTTAGATTGGTAACTACATTTTCAACATCCAAACCCAAGACCTCTTATTAGATTAGAAGAGACCCATGTCATTTTATCCACACCAAAAGAGAATAGGAGAAACAAAATTTGGGATGAAAGATGTGGTTTTATAATAATAATAAAAAAAGTGCATTAATTGTTGTTTGATATGCCATATTTCAACACTAACTTGCCCATAAAAGGTAGATTTCTCTCGCTCCAAAAATCTCACACCGACATGGTGGGTAAATCACAGTAACTCAATAGTTCATAAGATGAGAGGACCAGTGTCTGATGTCCACAAGGAGCCCACCACATTGGACGAAACTTGGCTGCCAAGGCTCGAGATACTATAACCATGTTTCAACACCAGAAATGAGATACTCTACCATGTTTAGTAGACTGCCAACAACAATTATAGCAGACCAAAAAGCACAAGTACCTCATAATATGCCATAGAATTGTAAACTGTTGCAGATAATCAAGTCAAAAACAAATCCAGTACATAGACTCTAAAAGTATTTTCACAAAATTATAAAAAAAAAAAAAAAAAAAAAAAAAAAAAAAAAAAAAAAAAACATTTGGAAGAAGAAAACATCAAATTTGAACCAACTCACTAAGTCACTTGTGTGTAACTAAGCAAACTTTTTGTCTTTCAGGGGGCCTTTGGGAATTTTACTGAGAACCTTTACATTGAACACTGCATATTGCTTCTTGATCTCTGCCTCAGCCTTCTCAGCAAAAGCATCGACCTGATCCTCATACTTCTCATACAGGAAGGGGACAGTGTGAAGCAACACAAAGCCTGATTTGCAGAGAAAGTGGTAAACAAAGTTAAGGTAGAGATTTAAGAATATAAACATTGTCAGTAAGAGAATGCAAAAGAAACCAAAGCACAATAAGGTGTATTACTTATGTAAAACAATGTAAGGAAGTTGCAGAGATTCCCCAAGATTGAGAACAACCACAAGACAGCAATAACCTGTGTGCATAAAATCCCAAAATCATATCATCATAAAGAGTGTAGACAATGCATGTTACTAGGACCATAGATCACTCGGTACTATAGCAAATGAAACAAAGTCAAGCTACAGAGTGAAATGTAGAAGACAAACATACTCCAAGGAACTTCTTCAAGTCTTTCCCGGATGCAATGTCTCGAAGGCTAGCTAAAGCTGTATTGATTTCAATTCTAAGTGCAGAAGCCACACCAAGGACAATATCCTCAGGAATGTAGACTTCTGGGATATGAAGCGGAGACCTGGTACATAAAACAACATCAGTCTCAAACAGAGTCCAAATGTTCACTAAATGAAGAGGGAAAAGAGCTTACTTTTTAATGAAAGTCGATGCATTTGACATCAAGAAAGAGATTGCTAGAGCAAGAATCAATACATGGCATACTAGTGTGAGCAAGTGATATTCCAGCAATTCAAAAAACACCCAGATAGCAGTTGCAAAACCAAGCACACCAGCAGAAACCTTCTTGTCCCTCCAGAGGAAAATATCAGCAGCTGCATCACATAATATTAAGATCAAATAACAAAGAGAGTACTACCTAAGGTATACATTCTCTGCATTGTATAAAACTTAAAGTTCCATATAAATATTAGCTCAAAGGAACAGACCATGGATTTTGCTCCCTAATCTTTTAACAAAATTCTCATTTAAGTCTCATAGATCAAGTATTAAGGATTACATGAAGAACTTAAGTCTAATAATATAACTCAAGCTTTCCAACCATGAACCATTACAATGACTGCTAACCAAACATGTGACAGCAAAAAATTATTCAGGCAGTACAAAACTTCTGGAGGCATTAAACATATACAAACTTTATGAAGTAAATCTAGTTACATACTACACTATACAAAATAAAAATAAAAATTAGCACAGCATCTATAGGAACAATCGCCAATTAGCATTTACTCAAAATGCGATTGAATAAACTAAAGGTATCATTTACTCGCGAGGTAAACATGAAAACAGTTAATACACAGTTGCAGAGAACTAATCGGAGTAAACAATGAGCTTTTCATCATATACATAAGAGCTGCAATAGACAGTTCGAGCAACAATTACTGCACATTTTCGATCAGTATATCTATTAGTCTATGTATGTATATTTGCAAGGAGAGGCAATTGTTCGATCAACTTACGTTTTCCACCGCCCAGGACCTTGTGCACTGGCTTCTCACGCCCGAAAAGACGGTAGATCTTAGCCTTGACGGCTTCGACTGGAGACTCCTTGTGCTTCTCGTCATCCGAATCCGACGACGAATCGTGGCCGTGCAACTTTTCAGTGATCTTATCCATCACCGATTCAACAACTGAATCGTGCTCGCCGGCGTGATCGGCCATTGGATTAAGCCTCTGATATCTCGCCGCCGGCAAGGTATATTTTGGTCTTTGAAGAGTACTGCCTTTTTCTACTGTCTTGCTGTCTGCCTTACTATAGTGTCTTGCCCGAACGAGAGAAATACTGAGTGAGGGCTTAAAGGTGTGACTCCTAACCTCAGGCTCGGTATGTTTGGAGAATTACGGAAATCGATGCAGTGCGGGGTAGGTTTCCGGCAAAATTCTCTGATTTTCTCCGTTACTTTCTTTGAGGATTAACGGAGAACGTTACGTGTCTGTGACCTACGTGGCGACGTCATTGGAGAATGCAGATATTTTGTTAACGACGTCAAGACGTCGTTTGTCCGTGAGAAAAACTGCCACGTTTGATTTATTTGGGACGGGTTAACCCGTGGGCCAACAGATAGGCCCATTTGATTAGTGGGACTGGTGACACAGGGCAAATTATGGTGCATACGGATGTAAAAACGACGTCGTTTTATTAAAAACACGCGTTTCTCCTTTAAAAAAAAAATTCAGGTTCGATTCTCAGCAACAACATATGAACTAAAATTCCAGAATCGATGAATTATAATTGAGTTAATACCCAAAATCGTCCTCAACTATAGTGGTTTTTCTCAATTTCGTCCTAAACGACTTTGGTGACCTAATATCGTCCCAAACTTTTGTGTTTCGCTCAATTTAGTCCTTCATTTGTTATTCCGTCAAATTGGTGTTAAATAAAGGACAATTCAGTAATGTCAATATTGATCTCTCTTTACTTTCAACTTGTGAAGTGCGAAATTCCTCTTTCTTGTACGAATTACACCCAGAATTACTCCCGAACCTGCAAATCAAATTTTATATTCGCAGTTTTAGGAGTAATTCGTAAAAAAAAAAGGATTTCGCAGTTCACATGTCTATGAGTAAAGAGATTCCAATATTAAAATTACTAAATTGTCTATTTATTTAACACCAAATGGACATAATAACAAATAAGGAACTAAATTGAGCAAAAACACAAAAGTCTGGGACGATATTAGGTCACCAAAGTCGTTTAGGACAAAATTGAGAAAAACCACTATAGTCAAGGACGATTTTGGGTATTAACTCAATTATAATTCTATAATCGATGAACTATAATTCCAGAATCTATGAACTAAAATTTCAGAATCTAATCTATGAACTAAAAATTTCAGAATGAATGAACTAAAATTTCAGAATCGATGAACTACAATTCCAGAATCGATGAACTACAATTCCAGAATCGATGAACTAAAATTCCATAATCTATGAACTAAAATTCCAGAATGAATGAACAACATAATGCTGTTGGTGGAAATCGAACCTAAATTTTTTTTTTAAGGAGAGATGCGCGTTTTTAATAAAATGACGTCGTTTTTGCATCCGTATGCATCATGCACAGCATAACTACTCGTGACACAGGATATGGCCCAGGTTTGGGCTAAAACCAAAATGAAAATCAACTTGATCAGCAACTTTGGGCCTTCCGGCCTATCAATATGAATGCCATGCTTCAAATTTGGACTTGAAGGCCCATCAATCTCATTCAAAGCAAGCTTTGTAATGGGTTCGTTCATATTACAATCAACTCTCGTTTAAGACAAATTATGGTCCACACAATGTTATGTGGACCATAATAAAAAGTATATTTTTAATATACTAAATGTGAGTTAATTTCAATTTTGATCCTATGATTATTGGAGTGTTGTCAATTTTAGTCCACTACTTTCAAAACTAACAATTTAGTACCCTAACTATTTAATTTTTATCAAGTTTAGTCCGTATGGCCAAATCGCAAGCCAATTTTCAGCCAATGGTCGCCAATTTTATCCACATCCTACTTGCCTTTGTATTAATTCAAACAATGGTTCAAGAATTAGCTTCCATTTTAACACTGAATTAAAAGATTTCAGAGACAATTGGTCGATAATTTGGCTAGATTGACTAAAATTGATAAAAATTGAATAGTTAGGGTACTAAATTGTTAATTTTGAAAGTTGTGGACTTAAATTGATAACACCCCAATAGTCATAAACCAAAAGTGAAATTAACTCTACTAAATGTACATTATATTTGTACTGAATGTACATTATATAATATAATGTACACTCAGAACAAAAATAATGTACATCCCCTGAATATAATGTACATTATTTGTGTACTGAGTGTACATTATTTTACAGGAGACAAAATATGGTCCACTCAACTTGTATGGACCATGCTCCACACAATAATGATTGCCCGTTTAATGCAAAAATTTATGTAAGACTATCTAATTTATCTCCTCCCAAAAGGTTGAATCTACAAATTCAAGGGTTTTCACATTTTGACCCGACAGAGCATTTAGGAGAATGTAAATCACGGTGATTCAATGACTCAGCAGACAAGGCCAAATGTGGATGTGCACAAGAGATCTGTCCACTTTAGGCATAATTCACAGGATGTTCGAACCTTGGAAATAACTGATAGTCCAGACTCCATATGGGTGTGTAGTTATTCTACACCTCCAAGATTGAAAACTTGTCGCTTTTATTCCCAGTCAAATATCAAATTTAATGGGAGCAATCATAGTGAAGTTGATTGGACAGTTAGTTTGATAACCACAAGGTTGCAAGTTTCACAACAATGTGAATTGTCTATTGACATTCTTGATTTGAGTCAGTCATCTATAACTAGCTTAAGTTGGCTTACCCCAATAAGATCATTTGCCGACTATGATAAACTTAAACAAATTTTACTTAGAGCGCACCTTCAAATAGCAACTGCGATCTTGAAATACTAAAAGTAGCAACCCAAAACGACTTGATTGTTCCATTGGTTTCAAAAGAGGGGCTAAGGTGCATGAGTTAAAAAAAAAAAAAAAAAAAAAAAAAAAAAAAAAAAAGACATTTTAGACAATCAAAAGAGAGAATAAAGGGGTGGCATTTAAGAGGCTCCAAAGTGACATTTGCAAACTCATCTTCCTCCTTTTACACAGAGAGGGAAATGGCTTTATTTCTCTCTTTTGTTGGTCACGTTGCTGGTGACTTTATATTAGGTATTTTTTGTGACACATTTTTTGCCTCCTTTAATTAGCTTTTCCCCTACTTACCCAAAGCAAGAAAAGAGAGCAGCAAGCTATGTAGGTGTCTATAAGTTGGAATAAATTCCAGCTCAGGTCCGTTGAAAGCACCAAGTCAAACCTTTAAGTCTGACTGAGCTTCTCAAAAGCAATAAAAGTAGAAAGGTCCAAAGGAGAAACCAGCGTGCCCCATCTCCCACCGTTTAGCTAGCTCCACCCTTCTAGATCTCTATCTCTTGTTATATTCACTATGAATTCTTGTTAAAATATTAAAATATTTTAAAATTAGAATCTAACAATTTGAGATAGTTAGTAAATGAATGACAAATTCAATCGGAAGGTTAAAAGATCAAAATTTGGGTTCAAAATGGATGGCTATGTGAATGGAGTTGGATTTTTGTCAATACTCTCATAATCGAGTCATTCACAGATGATTTTTTAATGCATTTTTTTTTTCTTTTTACTTTTCTTGTATAGTTTGCAGGTTATTATGCATGAGTATGATTTACCAAGTATATACCATCGACATCGGGTAGTGATTGAGGAATTTCCCTTAACAATTAAAAAAAATCAACTTGCATATATGTTCACACTCGAATTTGGATTAATCTCAAAGCGATAGAAACAATATAGGATATAAACCTAGTTTGCACATATTAACATTTTTTTAACTATGAAAATTTGATTTTTTTTATTTTTATTTTTATACGTGTACCACATTCTAAATCAGGCCTTATCTAATATGAGTTGATTTCATCACGTTAAAAAATGAAAACAACATAGGTCATAAATTTCGATAAGCCTTATTTCTAATAGCTAACAATAGCCAATAGGGCACGGTTAGAGCATGCCAATCACTCGTTCTCTAAGATGGCATTTGGTTTAAGGAATACAAATACAACATGTAACAGGGAATAATATAATTTCAATAATAGAATAAGAAAAGAATATGATACGAATACTATTATACTGTTTGGTTCACAAATTGAGTAAACATGAATTATAGGAGCTATCATATTCTTGTTCTTGCCTTGACCATGAATATAAAAAGAATATCATTTAAATAATTAAAATACTCATATTCAAAACAATACACATAGAAATATATACATACCCACCATAAAATAACAAACTACAAAACATAATAAAAATTATTATATTATTTCATAAGCAATTCTAATAAAAAGATATTGACCAACAAAACAATTGCACATGATATGAAGGGTTTATAAAGTTTTTTTTTAATAATAAAAAATAGATGCACATAACAATATAACATGCTATTAATAAATAATACCAAGGGGTGTTGGGAATTGTTATTTCCATTGCAAATGAAATAGGATCCATATGAAATGATACGCTTACTCTAAAAATTGAATTAAATAGCGGAATAGATCCATTATCCAAAATGACATTCAATTTTAATATATTTCATAAACCAAACGTTATGTAAACATTTTCATAATCTCATCTTAAAATCACTTTCAAACTCTACGATTCTACCCTTCTGAAGTCCTATGAAGTCCTATTTTCCGATCACTGCAAAAATCTTGATAAATCACCCATAATTCTCTCTTTTTTTTTTTTTTAAATACTCAAGACTCTTTACAAGGTAGTATCTGTTTTAGTCCAAAGAATCTAAGTGTCTACTGGAGTTGAACTATGACCATTCATTTAAGAATGTAATTGGGATACCATCACATTACATGGTAATTAACAATCACCCATAATTTTTGTTTTATTTTTTAAACCAAAAGACCCATAATTATTAGATTAACAAGAATTTCAACACAACATGACAAAAGGGGTTGATTACAATACTTTAACATACATTTTGCATATATTTTAACATATGTCCCCTGTTCAATCCTCGGATTTGTTTAGTATTGTAATTATTATTGTAAAGATTCTTGTAATATAGGCTATCACTCCAAGCATATAGCTATTTGGAGTTAGACTGTCACTCAAAATACAACAATGTCTTTTCTCTCTCACTTTCTGAAATTTAGTTCTTGACTTGATGAATAACACTCCCATACAACTTAAGAATTGCATAAATTAGTGTTCTCGTTGAGAGTATCAATCTAAAAAAATTATTTTTATACTTAAGGCAAAACAGTTTCAAAATACGACCGTGACTCGACAACGCCACCTTCACTAGATGGCCAAAGCTCTCTGGTACAACTCCTTAGGCATTTCTTTGGTACATAAAGATTCGGAGCCTTTTAGCAATGTAGTCTGCAATAGCTTCCTTCGAACAGGGTCTTGCCAGTATGGGGGTAGCCATGGAGATAGATACCAACAAAAAACAACAAACAAAAATAAATAATAAAAGGAATATTTATTTATTTTTATTAAAAGAAAAAAAAGAAAAGAGAAAGGTCGGGTCGGTCTGGCCCCTCTGAGAACAAAGACCTCACCTTACGTTTTCCCTCTTTTCAAAGTCTCTTCTTTTTGGCTCTTCTTTTCTTCTTTTTCCCCTTTTCTTTTTGGAAGTTTCTTTTCACCTCTCCCTCTCATTCCTTTTACCTCACCTATGCTATGCTCTCTTCTTTTTCTCATTCTTCTTTGGTTTCTGTCTTACCCTTCTCGTCATAGTACGTACAAATATATTCTGCTCTCTCTTTATAACGTTTCTCAACCAATTTCATTTTGTTTTATCCAAATAAATTAAATACTCCTTCGTGATTCAAACACAAAGAATTTAAACTTTTGTTGAATAAAGTCTCAAATTTAAACTATATGGATAAAGTGACAAGAATTATAAAGATATTTATATAAGGTTCCATAGAAGAAGTTCGTATGAGAAAAAAGTTAATTCGAATTTTAATTTTTGACTATTGTATTGATTTCATTCAAAATTGTAATGTTTTAAATATATCATTGTAATTAAGATCGAGTTCAAGTGAAGATAAACAAATAACTAAAAGTCATGGTTGTAGTAGGTAGTAAACGTTAGTCGGGCACTAGAGTAGCACTAGACGCTAGTCGGGTAATAGAGTAGTGCCTAGATGGCTAACTAAAAAAAAGTGTGAACGTGTGGGTGTGTGTGTGTGTGTGTGTGTGTGTGTGTGTATATATATATATATATATATATATATATATATATATATATATATAATGAAAAAATTAGCAAGACCGAGACGGCTGAGTTAATTCGGCAAAATTTGGCCGTGTTTGCACGCCTAGATGAACGTCTAGGGAAAATCGTCACGGGCCCACGGCTTAAGGACACCTAGACTGATTTTTACAACAATATTAAAAAAAAAAAAAACATAAACTTAACTAGTTGTAAAATTGTGACAATAAGTAATGATAAACTAAAATTAACTTTTAAGATAATTTTACATGGAGTTAGATTATAATGGCATAAATATGCTATGCTTTATAAAGTGTATTATATATTTTGTAAATTTTATACAGTATATTTTTAATAAAACACAATGTACATCTTTATAATTCACACGATATTATAACTTTTCACAATGATAAAATTGTGATAAATTCAAAAGTATGAAGTCTTGGGGATGGGAAGTTGTTTTCAGAGTGTGCACTGTAGGATCTAAATGAACTGTTGTACGTAGTCTGTAACTCTGTATCAATACAGTGTACAGACTACAGAGCATAGGAAGATGAAATTTTTCATTTTTTTAATCTCCTTTTGCTTTTACCTTTATTGACCTCTTTCTTTTTTTCCTACGTGACTCTATATATAACGGCGAAACCCAACATTACGGTTACAGTCCTACTACACATTACCCGCTTCTCTCTTCTGTTAGTTCTGTGCTATACAATACACTATACCTGGTTTTCTACGGCCATGGAAGCTTTTAACTTGCTTAAATTTTGGCGGAGTAACGGCGGCGGTGGTGACGGCGTCTCCGATGACGCAGATTCTATGAACAACTCTGCCAGAAATAACAACGACGGGCGGAATCCGGCGTTGGAAACGGACGAGGAGTCGGATGAGGAGTCGTTTTTTGATTTGGTGTTGAACGGAGCTGATTACAGCTGTAGGGACGAGAAGCCTAAGGCGGTGGAGGCGATGAGGAAAGGCGAAACGAGTTTGAGCTTTCCGGAGTCGCCGAAAGATGTGTTTCTGAAAGGGAATGCGTTTTCGGTTGATTCGTGTTCGAAGCCGCAGTCTCCGATTTCGCTGCTTAGAACCGCTCCGAAGTTTCGAGTGTTCTTCTTAGGGTTTAAGAAGTCGAAGGTGGAGAAATCGCTGGAGAATGACGGCGGTTCTGGTTCGAGTCCGAAGCATCAGCAGCTGCAGAAGGCGGCGCAGAATGAGCAGAGTAAGCGGTTTGCGGCGGTGAACTGTAAAGTCGACGACGTTGAAGTCGTCGTTGGCTCGTCGTTGCCGTCCAGAGAGAACAGCTTGAGAAGCAAGCTGCAAATGGAGAAGTTTGACGATCTCTCGCTTGATGAACCGTCCAAACGGTTCGCGAAAAATGCGGTGCCAAAATACTTGAAGCTGATTAAGCCTCTGTACTCTAAAGCTTCTAAATGCACTGAAAAAAGTAATCTCTCCGATAAGCTTTCAGTAACATCTCCGTTGTCTCCGGCCACCACGGAGACATTGCCAATGGCCAGAAGGCTATCAGAGGAGAGACAAGGGAGCAGGACGGCTGGATTCAGTATCGTGCGCAAACACCTAGTAAAGAGCCGCTCAGCTTCCGCCGGAACCGCGTCACCGCCGGCAAGGAGAAGGGACGAATCTCTACTGGAGCAGCAAGATGGAATCCAAAGCGCCATTCTTCACTGCAAGTCATCGTACAACTCAACGACTAGAGGTACATTGATTGAGCTGTCTACGAACACTTCGCAATCAATTCCAATATTTAAAACCTTCAATCAATAAAACAAATCACTATCAACATTTAAAACTTCAAACTTCCAAAACTCATTCATTTTTCTCTCTTTTGTCAGGGAGTTCATTATTGTCCCGATCTGTTAGCGAACCGCATCCCCAGAAATCTACGGATCCACAGAGAAGCTCATACGAGGACACAAAGCGATGCAGCATTTGATCCATAACCTCCTGTCCTGTTGCAATTACTATCCTATATTTTTGTTTATTTATTCTTAGATTTTGTGATGAAATGCGTTGTAAATAGACAACGAAGAACTAGAAATGGGTAGTAATGGCGGACGTTTACAATCGTCCCCGTCCATTCCCTTCCCGGATGTAGACCGTAGTGAATCAATGATCGTGTCTGTAAATTCAAGCTGGCTGAACCGATGATGACGTATCTAAATGAAAAAAAAAATTCAGAGAAATGATTAAACTAAGGAAAAAATGTGTACTTGCTATTGCGTTTTTCACTGGGGCAGCTGATTATGCTGAACGCCTGTTGCCTGTTGGGAATCAAAAGCTATTATTACACCATATTATTTATTCCTGGAGGATGCTATACATACAGTAACAGGTGACTCCTGCATTCTGCACTGCCCAATGCCCTTTTTATTTAATTATTCATTTTTTTTTCTCCTTATTGTTTTCTCTAGTCTTTCAAATATTGAATGGAGCAATTAATGAAGCTTGACCAAATATATGTAGCAGATAAGCATTGATATTGAAAGAAGATGAATGGTGAAATTATGGGCATGGGCGAATCCTTTTGCGTTTTGGCTTTGGCCCATTTGTCCACGGTCAAAATTCATTCTAGCTAAGACAGCTGCCATGGCTCTTGACTAGAAACCCATGGTGGTCCTGGCTCCTGAGGTGGTTTGTCTTCTTCTTCAGTAAGAACAACTGCATTTATGAGAAAATAGACAGGAAAATTTAAAATGCCATTGTATTTATCTACATTGTTTCTAAAATGTTCAATCTCCGACCACAAGAGCTTCTACGTTCCAGCTCGATAGAATATCTGGAGAATTAAAATTATGGTAACTTAACTGAACACAAAAGTTAGACATTCTTGCTTACTGTGCATAAGAAGCCCCTCATTACTTTAAGTGGTTGCTCACTGATCCCACACTGCCATTGTATTTTCCTACATAACATTACAGTTGGCAATGAACTCACTAGCTTGAGAATTGAGATATCTGTGATCCCCTACTGCCCCTATGTGGTCACATCTATTTATCTATCTATCTGGTTTGTTCAGTGATGGGTTAATGTGGTGTTGGGACAGTCAAAAACACAACTTTTTATCAGACGATGATGACTTAACCACATTTGGCTTACGCAATTCCTCTATTACCGATCATGACTTGACCATAACCACATCTGCCTCACGCAACGGCTCTAAAGAAATATTAATAACAATCAAATTCTTAATTTTAATATAAAATTATATTCCGTCTTATTTTATTTATCTTATTTATTATTTATGAGTCAAATCAATTATTTATTTTATTTTGGTTTGATAGGCCTCCTTACTATCTTGTTCCTGTTCTTGGCGCGGACTTAATAAATTGAGTTTTGTTCTTAAAAAAAGAAAATAATACTTTTAGTGTAATTTTTCTAAATATATAAATTTTGTATATTAATACTAAATCTAATATTATGAAAATTTAAATTAAAAATAACTTTAGTAAATTAACCATGCTAGACACAAAATAAAACGGGTGGAATATATTATTAACTTAGTCATTTTTAGGTATATAATTTCTTAACTCATAGGCTACTCAAATTAATTATGTATTTAAATTCTGCTTTTCAAACTCAAATTCGCTACGGCTATCTTCTTTTGTTGTGATAACAAATTTGCTTTTCTGGCTAATATTTAATGTTGCAAAAATCGCGCTTAGGCGTTAGGTGGTGGCCGGCTGCCTAGAATTTCAGTGAAATCGTCGTTCTAGGCGGTCGACCACCTAGGCGGCCTAGGCGCTGACTAAGTCGTGGCGGATTATGCGGTCTAGGCGGTCTAAGTGGGCGTTTAGACTACCGATTAATTATTTTTCAGTGTTTTTTTTTAAATAAGTAATTTCACTCAAATATTTTAGTACTAACTATTAAAGTATTAAATAAGTTATAATTTTGTTCAAATATTTTAGTACTAACTATTAAAGTATTAAATAAGTTATAATTATCAAGTATTAAATGTTTTTTTTTTTAAAAAAAAATCTTTTTTTTTTTAAATGAATGTCTAGACGTTAGGTGCGACCTAGAAACATCTAGCAATTTTTACAACCTTTCTAATGTTAACTAATCACGAATTCAATTCTGATTAATATTTTTTTAATTCGTTACACTGAAATTTTCTAATATAATTTATCTATCATGTGTTATTTGAAGAACATTATATATGAAGGGAAATTTGGCTATATATAGTGATGATAAGTTTCATGTATATATTATCCCGAGTAAATATCAGCAGAGGTCCTCCGACTTTAGTGGCACTGCCACTTTTAGTCCTCAACGTTTAAACCAACCACTTTTAGTCCTCTTACTTTTTGTTTCTAGCCATCTATGGTCCTTCTGTTAAATTTGGCCGTCTAATGCCGTTTTCTCAAAGGTAATTTGGTCCTTTCATAATTAATTTATTAATTATTATGTTTAATTTCCTCATCAGAATAGTCAAACAATGGTTTCCCCAATGAAAGCGGTGACGAATTGTGAATGCATATATGGATTCACGAGCTGATTTTGTACATGTTCATGGAGAAACTATTGTTTGACTATTCTGATGAGGAAATTAAATATAATAATTAATAAATTAATTATGAAAGGACCGAATTACCCTTGAGGAAACGACATTAGATGACGAAGTATATCAGAAGGACCATAGATGGCTAGAAACAAAAAGTAAAAGGACTAAAAGTGATTGATTTAAAAATTGAGGACTAAAAGTGGCAGTGCCACCAAAGTCGGAGGACCTCTGCTGATATTTACTCATATTATCCCAAAAAAAATTGGTTTTGTGGCGCTCACCCTCCCTAGTCCCTAGTCCCTGCACGTGATTATCAATAAAGCTGGCTATAAAAACAAAGAGAATTTAGAAAAGAAAATGTAGCTTAGGTAGAATGCAGACGAACTCGAAATTCAAAATAAGAATGAGTTTGCTTTCGTTTCCGGCACCATGCGATACGTAGTTTTCTTCGATCAGAACTGAATCCACCATACTTTTCATTCCGATTCATGTGTCGCTAACGTAAGCATTCATGTGCTGTGGTTCCATATATATATTTGAACCGCATTGTTATTTTCTCTCCAACATGTCAAATAATTTCACTTTACATGAACAACATTTAAGCTAAGGATGCATGAAACTTTAAATAATTAAGCATTAAATACTACTCGTACTTAACGTTAATTTTATTCCCCTCAAGAGAGATATCACTTGATGAATTTAATTTGTTAAAATTTAAATGAATTTGGAGACGCAAATTGAATATGTTAAGAGTTTCATATTAATAAAATAAGAAAGAACATATGAGTTTATAAGACAATGAATTAGATTAAGTAATTGGTTGGATTCAATATTTTAGTGTTGTTTGACCCATGTGCATTATAGTCTAGTTGAATGGCCTGCTATTCGATCTCCCAACTTCAAACAATTATATATTGAGTTAATACTCAAAATCGTCATCGACTATAGTGATTTTTCTCAATTTCGTCCTAAACGACTTTAGTGACCTAATATCGTCCCAGACTTTTGTGTTTTTACTCAATTTAGTCCCTCATTTGTTATTGTGTCCATTTGGTGTTAAATAAATAGACAATTCAGTAATTTTAATATTGGCATCTCTTTACTCATAGACATGTGAACTGTGAAATCCCTTTTTTTTTTTACGAATTACTCCCAGAATTACTCCTAAAACTGCGAATATAAAATTTGATTTGCAGGTCCGGGAGTAATTCTGGATGTAATTCGTACAAGAAAGAGGAATTTTGCACTTCACAAGTTGAAAGTAAAGAGAGATCAATATTGCCATTACTGAATTGTCCCTTTATTTAACACTAATTTGACGGAATAACAAATGGAGGACTAAATTGAGCGAAACACAAAAGTCTGGGACGATATTAGGTCACCAAAGTCGTTTAGGACGAAATTGAGAAAAACCACTATAGTCGAGGACGATTTTGGGTATTAACTCATTATATATTCTTATCATTTTAGTCCTCAATTGTGAACCATTCATATTCATGAATGTTACCATACAATCACACCAAAAGCTGCATGCTTTACTAATCAAACGAGCAACAAGGCTTTTGATATTGCTTAATTAAAGTTATAATAATGGCAGGCTGTGGAAAATTGTGTAGACTAGAATTACATGTAGAAGCAAATTCAAAGAAGAAATGGACATACAATGCACTAGGCCATGCATGCAATTTCAAGAAAGTATATATTGGATTTGCTCTAATCCCGGAATAGATTTTTGTTGCCTATATGTCTACACAACAAGAAATGCCTCTTATCATTGTATTATATATTGTTTAATCATAATTAGCTTTGTTTAGTTAAGAGTTTGTAGCGATATTTTAGATATTTTAAATTGAATTTGGTTGATTTTTTTTTTTTTTTTTGAAGGGGAATTTGGTTGATTTTTTTTTTTTGAAGGGGAATTTGGTTGATTTAAAAATATTTGCGTTAATTTTTATCAAAGCTTAGAATTAAGACTATAATTAATGAAATCGACATCTTAACTATAATAAAGCTATATATATGGTTTGGGAAGTAATTAATGTTATAATTAATGACACAACATCCTTTATTATAAAATTAAAAAAAAAACACACAAAATTTGAAAAATAAAATAGCTATATATTATATAATCATATAAAAAATGTGTTCAATTAGAGTTTAAATTTACTCATACAAAATTTGAAATTTGCTTTCTAAATGTAATTATCTTAGTTATTATTCGTATTGTGAAAATTATAATATAGATGAAATACAATTAAGAATAAATCAATATAATTATGTAAATTCTCTTTATAAGTTTATTTGAATATGCACATAATTAGAGATTTTATTAACTGTACAAAATTTTAATTGTAATTTTGTATTTTATAAAAAATGATAAATACATGACCAATGGAAGCTCAAAAATATTATTATATTAAACAATTTAAAATATTTTAGTTTTTCTATTTTTTATTTATATTTATAATAACATAATTTTTTCCATGCATCGCGCGGGTGAATTACTAGTAAAAAATAAAAGGAGTAGTAGTAATGTTACATTTCTCTCTTGATTTCATTTGTCAACAATATTTCATTTGTCAACAATATTTGATTAATGATTAATGAGTAAATTTATCTTTTAATGTTCAGTGAAGTTGGACAATTTACAGTAGTTAATGAATAAAAAGAATTTTATTACAGTTGTCAAAGTGTGGATCCATTACAAGATGTGATCACGGTATAATTCATGATCAAACCAACCCAGTACTGGCCTAAAACTATCAAAACTTAGGGCTTTGAAAATTTC